TAGAGAAAGTGAGAATAAAAAAAAAGAAGCGCTGGGTCTGGCCACTGCTGTTTTTTGCAAGTGGTGGCAAGAGGGCATGGACCCAACTCTGACATCTGATCTTCCCATCTGTGGAGCCAGCAGCACAGCTGATGTGATCCCTGCTCTGCTTTCAGGGTAGGCCAGCTGGCTCGCTGCTATCTAGCGCCCTGATGTATTTCAGGGATTAGCCTGTTGAGTTGCAGCCACCTTTTCCATAGGTTAAGAAAGTAGTAATGTAAAGGTCAGTCAGCCAAATGGTCAGAGAATGGACCTGGGTTATTTCTGAGTACAGAAATACAGTCAAAGTGTCTCGAATTTTGGTGTTCTTTTTTTTTTTTTTTTTCAAAAACGAAAGGCGTTTCCAGATATCTACATTTTACTCCCTGAAGATAAACATATTCTAGCTCTTTCTCTGTGAGTGCTGTTTCAAAAGGATAAGAAGTAGGATGTTGCACTACTTACTGTTATAACATCAGGTGTAAGCCAAATGTAATCTATTATTATAAAATTGCATTTGAGTGAAATATAATACAATAAAGCTTGCTGTTGAGGAAACAGGACAGATGCTTGAATCAGCTTCCAATCCAACTTTTTTGCTTTCTTGGGATAGTGCCAGTACTCCCATTTATTGTGGAAATTATCTTGACTCTCACTTGTCAGGGGATAAAAGAAAATATAAAACGTTTTTCTCAGAATCACAGAATGGTTGAAGTTGGGAGCAGCCTCTGGAGATCATCTAGGCCAATCTCCCTGCCCAGGCAGGGTCACCTAGAGTTTGTATGTTTTATTATTAGACACACAAAACCTTTTGGATGTCAGATGTGGGGATCCTATAGACAGATATAGGTCTTACCAAGGTGAAATGAAAACCTTTTCAATTGTCCTTTGTTTTCTGCTGCTGGGGATGCATTTGAAATGTGCTGGAGCTGGTTGGTGCTTTCATCAGCAGTGAAGGTCAAAACGACCTGGAAGAGAGACTGACCCACATGGTCTGTAAGGGTACCAGTAACCTGGTAAAGTTATGTGCAAGGTGCTGTCTCTATCGAATACAAGCAGCTAAAAGCTGGGTGAAACTACAGATACGCTGGGATCCTGAAAAGCAAGCTGAAAATAAAAAGGAGAATTTGGAGCTAGGTGATGGAACAAAATTTCTAACTATTCCTGAAGACTATATTTCAGTTATTTCATATTTCAGTTATTTGGTGCTTTCCATGTTCAGAAGTTTATAATATAGAGTTTATATAAATGAATAGGAGAGTACTATAGAAAGAGCAAGTTGCATTATTAGAATCTCCTTTTTGAAATGTCATGAGAGACTCCGAAAACTGCCTAACTATTGAATCAAAAGGAGTAACGGTGGCATTTAGACAGAGTTAAAACATTCTGTTTGAAACTATGCTGATTTCCTTCATGCACGTGAATAACCATGCTGGCCTGGAGTTTTCCATTAAACTCTGAAGTGACTCATGAGAAACTAGATGCTGAAAACATGAAGATGAAATAGGTTAAGCTACAATAAAATAAAAACAGCGCTGGCACTGCGTACTTGTGTTTCCTGATCCTCTAATGGCAGACTTCACCGAGGCAGCTGGTACTCCAGATGCCTTAAGTTGAGCAGGCAGAAAAGCATGTCAGCTGATAGACAGCATCAAAATATAGTATTACAAATTGGAGAGAAAACTGTCATAATACAACTTATTTGGTGGAATAACACAGTACATTACCAGTACAGATTATAGGTTGACCTGCTGCAAAACAGCTCTGCGGAGAGGGATTTGGGAATCCTGGTTGACAAGTTAAGCATGAGGCAGCAATGTGCTCTCAAGAAGGCCAATGGGATCCTGGCCTGCATCAGGAGGAGCACTGCCAGCAGGTCGAGGGAGGGGATCCTGCCCCTCTACTCAGCTCTGGTGAGGCCGCACCTGTAGTATTGTCTCCAGTTCCGGCAGCTTCTAGAGAGAGTCCAACGTAGAGTTGCAAAGATGATTAAGGGACTGGAGCATCTATCATATGAGGAAAGACTAAGCGAGCTGGGCCTGTTTAGCCTAGGGAAGAGAAGACTGAGAGGAGATTTGATCAACATGTCCAAGTGCCTGAGGGGAGAATGTAGGGATGATGTGACTAAACTCTTTTTGGTGGTGGCCAGTGACAGGACAAGGGGTAATGGGTACAAGCTGAAACACAGGAAGTGCCACCTGCATGTGAGGAAGAACTTCTTTCCTGTGAGGGTGACAGAGCCCTGGAAAAGGCTGCCCAAAGAGGTTGTGGAGTCTCCTTTTCTGGAGATCTTCAAAACCTGCTTGGATGCCACCCTGTGCCACGTGCTCTAGGTGACCGTGCTGAAGCAGCAGGGTTGGACTAGATGATCTATAGAGGTCCCTTCCAACCTTAACCGTTCTGTGATTCTATGTTGCTTTGATTTGTCTTGACGATATCCTCCGTTTAAGTCCCTGGCAGGCTTTTGGCCTCTGTGTGGAAATGAGTGTCTTGAACTCTAAGTCATGTTCACTATACCAACAGTTGTATTCCCCTCAAATGTTTGTAACCTCCTCTGCATTGGATATTTTCAAAGCCCATAACACCTATGGGCTTTGTATGCCTGAATTTCAGCTACTTAGTTACGCAGTCTGATATCTCAATGCAAAACCTCTCCAATCTGTACTTTAAGCTAATATGCTTGAGCATGGCTTGAAATAGTTGAGTCGCGAATGTATCTTGGGCCTATGGTGAAATAAATGAATGCATTGATTTGAGTTAAAAATAACCTTCCCCCACTTTCTCCTTTTCAGAATAAATCACATTTCTCTGTGGCTGTACTAACTTATTCTGACTTTAAAAATATGTGGACTATGGTCTAATGCATATCCCTGTGTTCTGTTCAACACTCTGTAATAGCAGTGGAAATGTTGCCAAGGGGCCAAAGCACACAACAAGGGGATTAAAATGGTACACTGTCTGCTAGAGCAAGTCTGGGACAGCTTAGGATCCTCTGTGTGAGACATCTCCATTTACAAAAATTCTTACCATCTGTAACTCCTAATAACATAGCTATCCGAGAAGTGAAAACGAAATGAGAAGTCTGGAAATATTACAGGTGGCCAAACTTCTGTGTTTTCATCCATAATTGCCCTGATAGTGCCAACATTGCATACTTTAGTAATGCGCAAGTATGTGGGCTTTTCTTCTACTGAAATGCTGAAATACCAAGAAAGCAAACTTGATATTCCAGGCTGGAGTGTATGTGTGTGTGTGTGTGTGTGTGTAGGAACAGGAGGTGCTCCAAAACCTTCACAGACTGAGATTTAAATACAGGTTCCTTGCTAGAGAAATTAACACAATATTTCAATGGTGCTCATCGCTGCACATCAATGATGCAAGCCTATTTTTTATTATTTTTTAACAGTAAACTTCAGTTTATTCTTAAATCTCCATCTGTCTTTTAAACTGGGAATAATTTAGAAACTGCACCTGAGGAATACTGCCAATAGAGGCAATGGGAAAATTCACTAGAAAAGTAAACCTCATCTTTTATATGCTTTTTATTTATCTTTGCTTTTTTTTCCCTCTCAATCTTCCGACTCTAAAAAGCCTCATTACACACTTCATTAGCAGTTTTCTGAGGCCCTATAGCGTAGTAGTATCTGCTCAAAGCCTCTGAGGGGTGAAATTGGAGATTTACTGGAGAGAGTTTGAGGGCTAATTACAAAGCCTTATCAACTAATAAGGCAATCAGTGGGCCACTGGCACAGTGATAGTGTTCCCTGCCACAGTCAATAAGATCTGGGTTAGATTAGCCCACAGGGTTAAGAGAAAATGCTGATGAAGGGCAACTAGTCATCTGGCTACCTAGGAAGCATCTTTTATGGGGTCAGAAGAAGGTTCCCATTCCTACCTCCTTTGCAGAATAATGAGAATTGCTCTTAAGCAATATAAGGCACGGTGTTCTTCCAGAAGCAGCAGTTGCCTTTCACCAGTGTCCCTTTGAAACCTGGTGAGTGATTGAACCCATATCTCCTGCCTTAGAGAATACCAGCTTTATATTATAGGGCTGAATTGCATTTGTCTGGATTAGGTACAGAAAGGGGACTCAAAGGGTCTGACCAAAGCACAGAGACTTCTCAGGAATAAAACAGCCTTTTGTCAGAAAGATGCAATTATGTGATGGAGTGCAGTGAAAATGCAGTAAGATTCGGGCCAGTGGCACAAGCACAGGCACTGAGATCTGAGAGTAAATGTGTTTCTGGTTTTATAGTAAAGTGCCTTCCTCCTGCTTTCCTCAAATATTTTGCCTTCACTTTTCATGTGAAAGGCTGAATCAAGAGCCATTTTACTCATTTGTTTTGATTTTTTTTAATGAAAAAAAAACCCAAAAAATGTATGTGCATAAAATCACTTCTTCGGGCAAGGATTTGAAAAATAATATATTTTTGGTTAAAAAGCAGAAAATAAAATATATTTCCATTTCTCACACTTAGTCTTTTTTTTTTTTTTTTTACAAATTAGATAGTCTCATCTATGTGTTCACTGCAGTGTGAGAAGATCCCTTACTTGCTTAAGATCTACTGACTTTAATGGAATTGCACACATTTTTAAATGAAGCTCGTGCTCAGATGCTTTCCTGAACCCGAATGGTCTATAGTGTACATTTCTTTCACCTAGCTGTGGTTTTATGCATACACATAAATGTGCGTATGTAGCAAGTAAAAGGAGGGGGAAAGTAAAATAGCTCCCCGGAGAATATCATGAATGCCCCAGTTTGAAAAAGGATTTAGGCATATGATTTTAAATCCATATTTAAGTTCTGCTTAGATCCTGAGATCCATTAACTGAACTGCTACAGGATGCTTTAAACCCACCTAAGTTTCTGCAGTGACATCTGCCAAAGTTTTGTTGTTGCTGACCAGCTCACTGTCTAATCCCCAAGGCAAGCTCAAAATAGCAGGCTGGGAAAAGACTTTTAGCATTAGCTGTGTGTGCACATCTGTCACCTCTTAGAAACAGTAGCTGTGGGCTCAGATTTCCCAAATGAGACCTTGTTTATTACATCCCCATTCTGCATGATTTGGAGTACAGGCTTGACTGAGCCAGCTTCCTCTGTATCTTCGCAAAGAGTGACTAAGCCATCAGACTGCTGATGCATTCTGGATGGCTTCCTCTCACTCACTTCTGTTTCATGCTGTACATGAAATAGTTAACATTGAGAAAGGTTCTGTCTTCATTCTAGTAGATGTGGCACTAACTTAGCAAGTTATGCAGTCAGATCAGGTTCTTCTAAAGTGCAAAAGGGAACAGAAGGTGGTTTGAGAATAGATCTCCAATCTGCTAGATGAGATCTTTATCCCTAGAGACCTCATGTTCCTCTTTCTGAGAAAGGAATGCTTTCACGTTGGCATGTAGCTAGAGGATGGGTTACCAGAATGCAATAGCAAAATAAAAGAGTGAGATAGATGTAGTTAGGTATTTAATGCTTTGAACTGATGTGCTTTACACCCTAAATTCTGGTTTCACAAAGGCATTTAGGAGATTAAGCCCTGCTGAAGCCATAGTCCTGATGATTGTAACAATGTTTTGTCTCCTCAATGCCTTTTTGGATTTAGCCTTAAGGAATTTAAGAATGTTTTAGCAGAATAAGCTTCAAGCTAAGAGTTACAGAAAATTGGAGTCTTAATCCTAGCAAAAATCAGTAGAAGTAATTTTATAAGTTGCTTATAAATTCTGGAAATGCCATACCTATAATAAGCAAAGATGACTTCTAAGGGTAAATTACATGAGAAGTGAAGTAATGGTGTCACTAGTGTCTAAGAATTTAGGTAAAACAAAATAAAACAAAGTTATTATTTAAAAATTATATGACTAAAGCCCTGGCTGTAAGTATCCACCATTAAATTTTATTGGATATATTCCTTGAGAGAATGCCACAGAGTTAAGAAAGCATCTATTTTTCCTGAAATTTAAAAAAAATACTCATTTTCAATCCAGTGGTTCGCAGACATTTCACAGGGAAGAAAGCAACAGTCTGTAATAAATCAAATATTCAATCTCTCAGATATTTTTTAAAAAGAGATGATAGGTCAATGGCAAATCAAATAGGCTTTTTAGAAATTTAATTTGGCCCAAATTCTGATATCTATCCCTGATCAAAGAGAAACTGCAGTCTGACAAATATTAGAAGAGAAACTCGTCGCTACAGATTCATTCACCAGCAGATTTACGTGTACTTGCAGTATTTCAAAGAACCAGACTCACTGTACTGTTCCTAAGGGAGCATCAAACTTAATGTCTACACTCTGAGCTCTCCAATAGACTACACACAACACCTCTGTGTCCCTACGCAGAGCTCTATTAACTTCAGCAGGGATCCAAAGAGACACACACTATGACTCCAAGCTGCTATACAGTGACACAGATAGCTAAGTTTAATCATTAGATTCTGGTCGATGAGTTATTTTATGTACCTACAAAGACATAGTTAAGATAGGTCCAGATAGAGAAATGAATATCCATTGAAATGCAAATATTTCATTAAAATAGGTTTTGATAACTTGCACTAGCTGGCTAAGATTACTAATACACTTGTCTTTTAGATGCCTAAGATGAATTCTTTTACAAATTTTATCTTTTTTTTTGTCCCAGAATGACACATCCGAATTGCGTATACTGATTTAAGCAGAGGTGATTGTACTTGCTTTAATGCTCCCATTCATTTTTAGATTTTCCTTTTGACAAATGCAGGGATGATGAGGAAAATAAAAAGGTACTATTTTAGAATATTACAATTCTGAAAATTAATTTGATGGAAAATGGACTTCCTTTATATTTTATGCTTCCTTAATAAACCTGATAGATCCATTCAAAATCAGGAGGTGACTTTCTTGCTGTAACTTTTAGAGGCAAGGGATTAGGATTGGGAAAAAAAAAATCACTTTTGGTACCTTCTTGACCGGGGTGCACTGGTGGCTGAACATTTTGACAGAGAACAGATACTCTGGGGAGTAATCACTATTTTGACTATGTGTAAATAGTTCAGGGAATGATCTTGGCAAGTGAATCATGCTGTTGTCATCATGTTTTTTGGATGGTATTAGCTCTGTGTGAAAGTGTGTGGTGCCAGTCACTTATTAGAAAATATAAGCAGTCAAAAGCAAAATATGTGTTATAGACATTTCCTTCTCAGGACTCATGCACTGCATGTTCTTGCTAGAGTCAGGACGTTTTAGTTTTGTTTTGACCTTGGATTAGCTGTAAACCCATATCAGCTCTTTTCCCTAAATCTGGCACTTCAGCCTGTCCTGAAAGTGATCTCCCATTGCTGCACTATCATACATACCCTTTCACCAAATGTCAGAAAGATTGATCTTCTGCAGAACATCCAGTGGTTCTACAATCTTGCGTGTTGCAATTCTAGCTTACAGTAGTACCAGTCGTAGAGTGATGACACAGACTTCAGAAAACGAGACACACATAATCCTGGATGTTCATCAGCACTTGAACACAGTGATGACTAAGCATGGGCTCAGCGCTACACGGAGTGCATTACTTTCAATTGAGGGGTGCAAGCTACCAAGGTACAATCCACAGCAGGACTGCTTCTTGCTCCTTTTAAAGATATATGGTTAACAGCAGAGAAAATAGATGGGTAAAGATAAGAACTAAGAAGTTGTTTTGTTTTGTTTTGTTTTGTTTTTTTGTTTCCCCTAGCATTACTTATTGCTTTATCACAGTTTCCTAGCTTGACTTGCATAGTTATTCTATTCATTAAAACACAATCTTAATAGCTCTGGTTGAAAACATCTTCTTTCTCTCTCATCAAAATGGGATAAGTAGGGTAGAAAAAAATGGCATGTAAACATGCTCTTCCATCTCCTGAAATCTCTTGGCAAATACCATCTAATGTTTTTGACTGCAATATAAATAAAGCTAAACTTTCTCTTGCATTTTTGCTCTTCTTGGTCCTGTGCAAGATGTCTACATGAGATGGAAGACACAACAGATGTCTTCTGGAGTCAAAAAAAAATTGTTTGTTATTTCTCTTTTCCTGCATCTTGCTGCTTTCTAGCAGAGCTATTTTCTTGCTTCCCATCTCCCCACTTTTTACTCTCAAAGTTCAATCCTGGTGAGGTGTGAGCAAGTGCACAGTGTTTCTTCAAGCAGAAGGTGAGATTTTGTTTTTGTGGAAGGAAATGATGAATTAATGTCTCCTAGTGAGACAGCAAAATTAGCTGGCTGTAGCAGCCCAGGAGAGTGTGAGGTGGGCTCTGCTGAAGAGATGGGAGCATTAGGGGTACTTTCGAAATCTACCCAGAACAAATAAAGGACAAATACTGGCTTCTGTGTGGAAGCTCTGGAGTAGAATGGATTGAAAGGGGTCTAGAGAGGAGGAAGGCTTGGGAACCGGGTTACTCAAGAATGAAGGTGAGCTAGACTCAGGAGGACTGGTTTAGGTGAGCTCTGAGATTGGTGGAAGCTCTCAGAGAGGAATGGTTGGGCACTTCTGGTCTGGATACAATGGTCAGAGGCTTTACAAAAAGAAGAGTAGAGGACTGCAGTAAAAAGAAGCTTGTCATGCAAGATCCCCCAGAAACTGCTAAGCAGAACCCCGGTTTGAACTGCTATCCCTTCCCTTATTCTTTTTGTTTGTTTGTTCTTTTTAGGGTAGACATTTTTTAGGTCTGCAAGGTCATAGGGCTATTGAACCCTATGGAAGTATAGGAAGTATAGGAAGTATAGGACTGCCTTATTCCCAAAAACTTCTCTGAACTTTGAGCTTTACCTGTTCACAAGACATCTCATCAAGTTTAAGTACCTCCTATCTGCCTTGGATTTCCTCTGAAGCCAGTGGAAAAGGGAAAGCAACCCTAGACAGCAAATAAACTGTCATGTGTGAATCCACTCTGAAGAACTTGGCTGTTTAGAAAAGCAAATGTGAAGAAGACTGACATACCAGTTTATTTTTTCCTATTAGTCTCATTCTCCTCTTCGGTAGCACCAGACACCAGACCTTGGAGTCACATCCTTTTTTTTTTTTTTTTTGGTGCTGGTACTGGAGATGAACCGTGCTCATGCTTGTCTTGCCCTTCGTCAGTGTTCAGATGTAAGATCATTTATTACAGAACATAGAATAAAATTATTTTCTTTTATCAAAGGGATAGAGCATTTTTTTTTTCAAAAGGAAAGTCAAGAGTTTTGTTCCTGGGCTTACGGATAGAGTGGCTGACATTAAAAAGCTAGCATTTACCGCTGTCACATGGAGTGTCACATTTTGTTGACAAGCATGACAATTTCCTGAGCAGATAATAATATTTGAAAGCAATTTCCTTATGTAACTGTTGTGCCTATACTGTTTTAGTTCTGGATCATGGTAGTAGCAAGATCATCATTTTTTGCCTGCCCTGAGACATTTATCCTAGAGGATTAATTTGAGTGTGTATTGTAGAAATGAAAACCAATCATTTCTTTTTATCAGAAAGAAAGTTCAAAGTATTAATTGAATGGATGTGAAATTGCTTTTACAGTGTAATATATGTAGCATTTCTTTTATTCTGCTACAGTTCTTTGAATAAATTGCTCTCCTCTGATAAGTGAAAAATTATTTAACTACCAGGTAATGTCCAAACTCATCCATCAAAACTCAGCTGCTTAGTAGTGCCATGGTATACTCCCTAATAAATTATTGCTGTACAAATTGTTGATTATAGTTAATGATAGCAATACCTCACAAGGAACCAAGATTGTGAGAGTATTATTTAGCAAAGAAGCCAGTTATTAGGATCCAATCCTAATTAATTCTAACATAACGATTTATTTCTGTTACCTCTTACTTTTCCTTAGATGGCCTCTGGAAATCCCATATTTAATAAAGAAATCCCGAGTATCTATTTCACAGACTGTTTCAGCACTGAGAATCTAAGACAGCAGAGGATCCAAAAGAGGACCTAACTGTTTCAAAACAAAAATAAATTAACAATACTGGACAAATTTAATGCAGTGTATGCAGAGAGTCAGTACTCATCAAAGCAGATGACAGTCATCAGTCTCCTGCTTATAGAGGAAGGGAGTTTTACTCACATCTGACACCTAAGTATAGATATGCTCTATGCCGCTTTGGCTAATCTGTTATATTTGTCCTCACACCTATGGCAGCAAAAAAAAAATACTGCTACAGTTCGCATTTTCATCATCCAAAACCAAATTAGACCAACTGTCAGAGAGCTATCTTAATCTGCAAATCACTCTGACTTTGTAATGACTTAATTAACCTGTGTTAACATGCTTACATCAATCTCATACATTTTGATTCTGTTTTTAGTAGTTAGAGCAGAATTTCTGCATACTCTTTGTCTTGAGGTGGCAAAGATAATCCACAGAGGGAACTGAAAATAGTAAAGAAAAAAAAAAGTTTGTCCTTCAGGGAAATTTCTCAAAAATTCAGAGGAAAAAAAAAGTCTGTCTTCAATCAAAATTAAAACAAAACAAAATTTATCCTTATATTTTTAGGGGATGCAGGAAGGTGGGGATGGGGAGAGCAAAAGCCTATCTTAAAGAAGCTAGTACCCCAGCCACTAGCAGATTCACTGAGAAAGTAAGGCATGTCTATGGAGAGATCCTGTGATGGCCAACTCAGGAAAATGTGTTGAAGTCTTTGAGGAGAGATCTCCCAGGCCAAAGGTTGGAGGGTCTGTAAATTCCATCTGCTCATGGAGCTGGTAGTGAGAGGGATGCGGGTTGTCTCCCCTGTTCAGCCTCATAGGACATGGACACACAGGGTGGTAGAGCTCAGCTTTCTCTAACTGATCCATGCTAAAGACCCTCAGATTCCTCTCTCTTGGCACTTCAAAGTTTGCTTCAAGCTCAACTCAAACTCAGGTTTGTGTCCACTTACTGAGGAAGGCTCATCCGTCCTTCCTCATGCTAAACGCATCATAAAATATTCTAAGAAACAAGGTTCTGGTTTGTACCTCACTCTGATCTTTCTCAACTGCTCAATGCCCTGGCCATCCTAGAGAAGAAACTTCCTCTTTCCCGAGGAAATTACTGCTGGTTTTGGCACAAGTCACAGCTACAGCTGCACTGAGTAACTCAGCCAGCTCAGCCTGAAATGGCAGCATTAGCAATTCAACTGGTCCAAATGAATTTGTAGTAAAAACTATGTTTTTGTTAAACATATCCTTAAGAAATAGGAAATGCCTATTTACCACGTTAAATCCAGCATTTTTTGAGGCATTCACCAATTTGTCCACCACTATATGGGGAGGAGTAGTACCTTCCTTTTAAATTCTGATTTTCAGAGGTAATCACTGCTGAATCACATCCTTTTTTTAAAAAATTAAATTCTGTGTTCAAAAAAAAATACATCCTTTTCTTCATTCCCTCCCTAAAGTGTCGGATAATTCATATGCTTATAAAGCAATAAGACTAACATACCTTGTCAGTGAAAGGGGACTGAAGAGGAGCTGGGTGTGGGATTAGGGTTCCAGCCTGATTGACTGGAAGGCACATCACAAGAAGAGCATTTCTAGAGCTTGGTGCAGTTGCTCTGAATACCTTATTAATCAAACTTTTTACCCGAAGTACAGAATATTTTGATCTTTTGTAAATATATATCAGTCTTTTGAAGATAAAAAGTTTCTTGGTGTATAACACCTTGATGAAAAATGGATGACAAATAACATTTTATCTATTAAGAAGCATGTTAAGTTACTTTGGTTATGCTTTAGCTCTAGTTCTTTTTTCCTATTGACCTAGACGTTCTCTTTTATTCAAGTTTAACATTAATAACCAGGAGGTTTAATGATGTTTAAATACAGTAAAGGTGTCTAAAACTTCATATCCTCTATGCAGCAGAATTGCGCACAAAGAGTCTGCATGTGTAAAGGCCTTTGACTACAGGAGATCTATGGTGCTTTATACAGGGACAGATTTTGACCCTGGGGAGTGGATTTGTGAGTCTCATATAAATTATTGTCTTTAGTGTCCTAATTGATTCCATGTGTAATTTTACACTCTTTTCTTTTTTCTTCTCTTTCCTTTGTAGTCAGAGCTACCTTCAAACTGCAAGCGACGTGCCTGGGGGTCACAACCTGGATCCCTCTGCAAACTACAATTCCCCAAAGTTTCGCTCAAGGAATCAGAGCTACATGAGAGCAGTGAGCACACTCAGTCAGGCCAGCTGCGTTAGTCAGGTGGGAAATTCTTGTTATAACTTTTCTTGTAGGTTAATCACAGAAACAAGAGCTGTTACTAGTGGATGCTGTTAGAGTTTTCTTTTAACTTAATATCAAACTGAGGATGTGAATTGTCAAAGCAATTCAGTTCTAAAGAATGTAAGCCTTGTTAAAAATTTCAAGAATAACACTGAATGTTAGAAGTGAAGAGACACCACCAGAGATAATATTTTCTTTTTTTTTTTCTCAAATAAATATTGGTATTTTCATTTTATTGAAATTTTTAGAAAACAGATTGTGCATAAAGTACACACTCCTAAAATAAACATTAAGATGCTTATGCATCTACAAAGCAGAGATTCATCTCTGAGCTCAGCCTCTTACTGTTTTTGCATGAAAGAGTAAGTCCCATCAAATATTTTACATATGAGGACTTCTGAAGAGACATTTTCCTTCCTGCTGGTTTTATAAGGTTAGTTAGTACTAATTCATGCTGAATGAGTTCTGAAGTAGGCCTGAAGTGCAAGCAGCTGTATGAGCCCTATGGATGTTCTGATCAGCAGAGGACTTTACACAACATTTCCAATATTTCTAATGTGCATTTGCCATGACATTCCTTCTCTGTATTGCTCCATGACACCTGGACCTGCCCTCTTCCCAGGCATTTGTACTTCATTTTCCTTTGTGCATTTAGTGAAGCACCTAAAGGTATAATAGCTAATTATGTACAATGCCTGTGTTGAAATGCCTATGTTTTTATCTTCATGCACATTCAGTTTGTTTTGCATTGCTATTCAGGCCTGGATTCAGCTCATCTAACTTGAGGCTTTTAAATGAGGCAAATGAGCAGAGAGGAAATCAGTTGCCTGAAGTCTCCTCTGTAGTTACTGGAGGGAAGTGGTTTCTTCCAGGGCAGTGGGCATTGCAAGTGGGCTGTAGAGCCCTCTGGAATTGCATGTCCATCACCACTGTCATTTGAGAGCTAGAAGGACCTAGTTTCCTAATAAAGGCTGTTTAGTCAAGTTCCTTAATTTATGTGGCATAAAACTAACTATAATCTTGCATAGCTTGTGTCAGAATTGGAAACAGTCATTTTCCAAAGCTTTTGTTATTTTACATAGCTCCCTTGTGAGACCTTTTCCTCACAGCATTTTCTTGCCTATATTTTGTTTACGTCTGTATCACCCTCCAGTATGGTGAAAGTTTGACAAGAATTAGATCCTGCATTCAAAGCAAGTATTGTTGTCGTCACCTTATATAATGCTACCCCATAGAATCACTCTTAACATCTTTTCTGACCATCTCTATGCATGAAGATGTCCACTGAGCCTGACTGGTTTCAGCAGTGGTTCAGATTTTTCACTGCAGTGTGCATCACTCGGAAAGATGTCCACAATGGGTTTCATTTGCAGTTATAATGCTGAGTTGGCCAGTGTAATTAAGTCCTACTGAATATAGTTCCTTACTTTATTTTTCAGTCTTGTATTATCTACATGATTTTGTGTCAACCACATATTTCCTACCTCACTGTTCAGTTATTTCAAAATCAGTAATAAAAATATTAAATAGTAGTCAATGTAAATGCATTAAAACAATAAGTTCTGAACCCTTGCTGTTTTCTGTTCTTTTTCCATGGCACCATCATCCACTCTTCCCATTTCTATAACAACCATTTGTGTGAGTTTGGTTGTTTTTAAATGCTTTTTAACATTAGTTCCTTTCCATTTCCTTTGACTTGGGGTACAGTTGAAAGCGATCCTGGATGCCATAGTTTGCATTTCTAAATGAAGTTTAAATATCTTTTTTTTTTCCTGCTGTTGATGAGCACAGTTTGAAGGAATTGCTTAGGACATACAGTGTTTATGGACCACATTACCATGAATTTCTTGATCAATGATATATGCAAAATATTACAGAGTAAGACTTTTTAAAATCTTTTTGAGATTGCATTAGTCTACTTAACTTTGTTAGAAGTACATTTTATGAAGGATAATGTAATTCCTTTCAAAGTAGATTTAGTAGCCAAAACGTCTTACATAAAATTAAAATAACAGTTATTCATTATCATCAGAAGTTCTGTATGAAATTTCCATTAACTTAATCAAAACCCTGAAACATCTGAAACATTTGCAGTCATTCTGTTTCCATAATGAATAATGTACTAGGAACAGTAATAATGAATAATGTAGTTAGCAGCAATATGTAAAAAGTAATATCAACTAGATGTGCCATTTAGTGATTTTAAGAATTTAACTAGATATTTTTACCAAATCTGAATTCTTAGCACTCTCCTTTTAAAAATTACTATCAGGAGGACATATCGGAAGGTCTTGTACTTGTCTTTGCAACATGTAGCTTCCCATCTGGCTTTGGATAAACATTATTTTGAGTTATTCGGGCACATTGCAGAGACAGTTAGGGACAGTTTCAGAGGAGCAGTTAAAAAGAATGGTTTAGGTAGAGAATTTTATTGCAGAGCAACTGCAATACAGTTTCCCCTCGAGAGGTTACCTACACAGACAAACCTGCTTAAATCATGTTGAGCATGAAAGCTGCCTAAGTGTTTGCAGGTTGGTGTCATGCAAGCGCAGCAGGTAGGTGCTGCAGTCCGAGCCCTCTGGAGAGACAGAGACTCATGCTGAGATCCCCCAAGGGTCCCAGCCCGGTGCAGGTGCCCGGGGTGCTTCCAGCACACTCCGACAGAGAGGCTTCCTCAGCCAACACAGGGGGAGAAGTTCCATAGTTAAATAATGCTGTTGGGGGCATGGCAGCAGTGGTGGCTGCATCCAGTGTTTGCCCAGTAGCTGAATGGTTTTCCAGGAAGCAGAAGTCTGGTTTAGGGCCCTTTGCAGCTGAATATGGTTCAAGCATTGCTTTCTCCTCTGGCCACTTCTGAAAAAGAAAAAAATAAAAATAATAAAAAGCAGTGTTATCTGCACAGTTTTTCACTCTTTTCACCTCTATTACAAAGAATACTTGTTTCGCTTTACCTGTGAAAGAGGCTATGGGCAACGTACGATGAGAATTGCAGCTATCTGCCTTCAGCCTAAATTCAGGGACACGACTGCACAGAGTTGGAGGGGCATCAGGAAGTTGACCATGCTTTGCATTTGCTGTTGGCTAGCCTTGCGTCCAAAACACCTTTTCTGAGTAGTTTGCCTCAGGCAAGTAACCCTTTCTCAAACATTACATATGAAGTACCCAGCTCCTCTTCCAGTAAGCGAATGTCAAAGGCTGTCCATCCAGTGCTTTACCAGACAGAGCTAGAAGCAACATTTCTCAGGCTTCTCAGAAGAACAACAGACTGGGAACTCACACATCCTCAAGAAAGAAATGCTTTGGGGAGCTCCCTTTTCGTGAGAGGAAGAGAGCGACCTGCAGCACAGCCTAAATGCCCATATGGCTCCTAACCTTGCTGATGAGTGAGGGCTCCAGGCAACCCGCTGGAGCTCTCAGTTTTTGAGAGCTAACATTAGCTTAGCTGATGTCTGTTCTCCAGGCAGAGTACAGATTTCTGTCAGTGCAGAGTGATCTCAGATTTGTTCATTACCCATTAAATTATGTATTTAATGACCGAATATGCCAAAAGATATTAAATGTAAAATTAATTTCATGGCATGCGTGATGTGCTAACTATTGACATATAAACAGCTGATGTAAATTAAGAAATGTGAATGTGATCAGAAGGGATTACTAAATCTTAACTTTTTGCTAAAACAGTTCTTCATCAATGTACAGGTGTCCATTTGAGATGTTGAGGCCGTGATGATCACAAAAAGCAAGTCAAAAATCAAATGCATTGTTGTTGTTTATTCAGATGAGTGAAGCAGAGGTTAATGGGCAATTTGAATCGGTGTGTGAATCAGTGTTTAGTGAAGTTGAAGCTCAGGCAATGGATGCCCTTGACCTCCCTGGATGTTTCCGAACAAGAAGCCACAGTTACTTGCGTGCCATTCAGGCAGGTTATTCCCAAGATGATGAATGTATTCCTGCGATGGCCTCTTCCAACATCACCTCAACTATCAGGTCAACCACAGGTAAGAAACTCTATACTGACCTTTCCACTATCATGCATGTAAAAATATATACTCTTGTTTTGTAAAAAGATATATGACACTTGAAAAAACTTCTCTCTGTAGATCACCAATATTCTTAGGTCTTTGATACTGTATGGTTGTGGCTACAGCTTGGAATAAGTTTTTTTTTCTGGAGCTAGTCATGTAAGCATAAGTAATTGACTAGGATTTTGCCATGGCTTTGATCTGACCCTATTTTTTTTAAACAGGTGCCAAAAAAAAAAAAGGCAAGTACAGCTGATATAATTTAGATATATGATTGTTGGACATTTAGATATTATTATCTATTTGGAAAATAAGGAAGCAATATTTAAATATTCGGTCTAAATACTTACAGAGAATTCACTTAGCAGAATTAATTTCTTATTTTTAACTGATTGTATTGATACACTGAATCATAAAAATTGTGATAACTTTCACATAGGTTCGTTTTTACTTATCAGTAATTGTTAAGATTTGTTTTTATATCGTTCATTCATTCTTTTGACATTCTCATAGCCATTTTCTCTTATTGCTTGTGTAATAAAGATGCTAATTTTATTAATGTTTGAATGTTTGCATTTAGTATTGGTAGAGAAAGATTGTGCAGAGAGCAATTAAAAGTGAAATCTATGACAAAAACATATTCTTTACTAAGTGATTCAAATATGCCTTTATATTTCCAAATATATCATGTCATTTCTTGAACATGATATTGTCCTTGCCGCAATACAAGTCGTCCACATACAGAATGTAAAAAATAGCTCAAAGTATAACAAGCAGAAATGCTATTAAAAATACTTGCTTGAGATATCTTTCGTGTAACAGAACAGTGGAAGCCTGGAAAGTAAGCTGACATTGAATAATAGAAATATATGCTTCTAGAAATATAGCATAAAATGCTATTTTATCTATCTTAAGCATAATATTTTAATTGCTACAGATAATTTTAGAGTAAAACTAGGAATTGTAGCTTCTGTTAACACCTCTGTCCTTTGTTTAACAGATGTGTTATCATGACATAAAATGGGACTTTACTGCTATCTCAGAGACTAACTTTTCCTGTTTGTTATGTAATGTATAATTATTAGGAAGAAACCTTCCACAGTCAAAGAAAGTGTTAAATATCTTTCTATTTTTGTACCTGCCACCGGATACTGAATGGGAACACTTTCATAACTAATTTGGTATTCAACTTGATTGATTTTCACCTAAGTTGTTATAAGTTTATGTGCCAGGTAAGACCAAACATCTCATCTGAAAGGAAATCACTTCATTTTCTTTGGAGTCACAAAGTTGAATAAAATATGGTATGTTTTGGGAAATAAATAGATTGGTCAGTAAATAGGTTTGCATCTCAGTGTTCTCATACTTACGAAAAATATTTGGGATTGATTAGCAGTCCGCTGGTTAAATAATTTAGTTTTGAAAACTCAAACCTTCATTTCACACATGGCTTCTTTCTCATCTCTAAAATGATTTATCAGATATAGGTTTTTTTGCCTAAGTATGTAATCCTTCTCTTTTTTTGTGGTTAGGTGATATTGACATTGTGGAGAAAAAAAGATCTTAGAAAAAAAGATGATGAGAGGTTCTGTCCTGAGTCAAAACTGTGATTCCAAGCCTGTAGGCTCTATTTGGTTCTGCATGTGGTTCTGTATTCAAATTCAAGTTATTATCCCTGTGAACAAGTTCGTCCTCAGCTTCAATGGAAATCAAATATTCAAAATAGGGATATCTGTCTAATTTACAAGAAGAATAAGAATTATGTGCTTCATTATTAATTGAAATTTTCATTTGACAAATAAGGTATTGTTTATAAAACCACAGAGTAGCTCTCTCTCTTCCATATTTCTGTCTTCAGCATTTGTCAAATTGATGGGAGATGCTTCATTTCCTATTAGTACTGTAGTTCAAAAAATCTCTTACTCCTTTGACCCTGTCTGAAAAATTGTAAAAGAAGCAGTTGCCTGAAATATGGAAATGGTATTGGCAGATATTTGACATGTATACAGGCTTCATCCAAATAAATGTCACAAAAGTCAAAGTTTCACATCAGCCTTCAGTTCCAATTCAGTCTTTGGAATTGCCAAGAACATTACTTTAGATTAATTCTTTTTTTCCTTCTGATGCTACCGACTCTTTTGGCAAGGAAACTAAAGCAATTTTGTAGAAAATTAATAGGCATTGCAATTCAATTATTACTTGAAATTTCAGTGATACAGGTCACGAGTGCCTCTTATCAGTGTTGTAAAGCAATTAAATCACAGCACAAGACTCAGCTAAAAATTCAATCACGTAGCTAAAAAATGTAAACTCAAAACAGAAAATGTAGTATTTGGTCTATGAATTCAATTATGAAAGTATAGAATATATATTTACAACATGCAGTTTCCTAGTACATTCCAAGGCTCATAAGCACCTTTCAGCAGGCTGAAAGTTTACAACTGTAATGGATATTATGTGGAAACTTATTAATGGACTTTATTAGAAAGATTTTTCTAAAAGATGGAAAATAATGATGAATAGCTAGCTTTTCTAAAGCCATGTTTTCTTCATAGTTTCTGTGGTACTATCGAACACATAACTTCTGTACAGACCAAAATAACTTAATTACTTGTGGAATAGGAATTGTCCATCTCTCTTAGAGACTGTGCCAAGACACAGCAACTACCTGTTGCTCCGGGTGTAAGTGGATGAGACAAGTGACAAGGTGCCAGAGGCAGCCCACACAGCTGGCGCACGGAAAGCTGGACACAGGCTCCGTGTGGCCCCTGCTAAGGCTGACAATATTTCACACTGATTAGGTCGTTTCTATCCATCCTGTTCCATTTTATGAAGAAATGAGGAACTCAGTAAAAATACTGCTATATAAGGAACCCAGTAAAAATACTAAAAGCTACAGCCCTGAATGACAGAGCAGTCCAGCTGCTCTGCAGAGTCCTTTTGGTCTCTGCCCTGCATCCAGTTCCAGCTGTCAGATGCAAAGCTGAGGAAATACAGCTGCAGCTGCTGCTGCCTCCCACCTTGTCCCTCCATCACAGACAACATGTAATTTCCTGAGTGGGAAGTCACAAAGTGCAGCAGTCACTAACTACCACTTCCTTGCACGTTTGTTATTCTTGTAAGCAATGCTTCACTTGCCAGAAAGAGTTCTGACTTATTTTTCCAACTTGATTTCCTATTGCAGAAAGATATATATGTGTATATACACTACAGTGTCAGCTTTCAAGGCTTCTGGTAATCTCTCAGGGATTTAGTGGAGTGGCAGAGTGCTGCGGGGAAGGTGCATGAGCTACCTGGGGCACCAGGTAGTGCCAGCTGAGTGCATCACACCGGGCTGTCAATAATGTCACCTACCATGTCACATATCATCCCACTTGCAATACCTGGAATGTCCTGCTAACAGTTAGTGGAAATATTCTCATGCAACACTGGATTGTACCATAAAAACAGACAAGGAGGTCAGAAGAATCTGAACCACTCTGTTTTTTGGGGTATTTTTGTCTGTTTGTTTGGGGGCGGGGGGGTACGTGTGTGTGTGTCTTTTCCTGCAAATGGCAGCTGAAAGCAAAAGGGCTCTGTAAAACTAACCAGGCCATTGCTTTTAGGACAAAACCAAAAAAAAAAAAGGGGGGGGGGGGGGCAAAAATATGGCTCAGTCAGAGCTACACCAATTTTTTTCATTATCAGTTAGCAAAGGGAGAATCTGAGTAAGAAAAACATTTTGTTCCTATTTGCGGCATTTGGTGAGAACAGACAAATCCCATGGTTAATGTGAGGATGGCCGCTCACAGTTATATTAGAGGAATGGGAAGCTCCAGCTTGGTGTTCCCTTTTCTTGAGAAGGTCAGCTGAGTTTTGTTATATGCCCTGTATGTGGACAGAGCACTATATGTAAAATATTCCATATGTTGTGGAACATATTGGAATGTTTCCTATTTTTTTCTGTTGACATTGTTTGATCTTTACTTTGATTTCTGGAATACTTATGGAACTGGAATGAGACAGGAGCTGGCAGTTACGATGATCTCTTGTGAAGCAGAAGAACTTGTTATAATCCCTGTTTGAAGTGAGACAGAGAGTAACGGGAATTTAAATCTTTGACCATCCAGCTGAATATCCCAAATACCATGTTACTGCATATTTAGATGTGGAAGAGTGCTCAGATTCTCCTGATAGCATTATAGTTTGGATAAAAGACTTTCAACTGCATTGAGAGGGATATTGCTGCTTTAGCCCAGGACAGTCAGCTGGCAGGTGAGGTACCTGCTCAGTGAACGTTGCTTTCATGTTCAAAGTGAAACAGCTTCAACAGAAGGAACTATAAGGCAGTAACTGAAGCACTCTGCTGAGAGGTAGAAAATCCTTCTCCTGACAAAGAGAAATGAATGCCTGACCTAAGTAATTTCTCTGGCTTTTACACTAATGAATAGAAACACTAGTTTTTTGAAACTAGCTAACATTTTTCTATAACTCGAATTATTTGGCTGCGACAAAGCCTGTACTTTCTAACAAATTGGTTACTGACAAAAATAAATATCTGTGGATTTCAGCGTAATGGTAATTGGGTTATGGTACATAAAAGCATCCTGGATTTCTTCTCCTAATCTTAAATAGTCAGTCCAAGATCACATGGATTCCGCTTTAGGGATTTCCAGCTAATGCTGAGAAAACCAATGTCTGCATCACTGCTGATTTCAGAGGATATAGTTACTAGCCATATGTGGCCAATACACTCCTGACTTGCTTCTTTTTTTTTCTAGAAGATGTAATGCAATGAAAACCTTTACTACCAGTTACATGCAACCCCTTTCAGATAATTCGTACTAGTATATTAGTAATTCATACTCTAGTGTATTAGTGCATACAGAAGAGATGACATTGAAAAAGATGAGACATATGGAATTGTCTTTTTTTTACTTTTGCCTTTCTCAGCCAGACTCTGCTTGGCAAAGAGTAAACTTAAGAGAATTCCACAT